CTAAAGCCTTTAAAGACATTTGGTAATTTACAAAAAGTTATATTTAACCAAGCTTTATTTAAAGATTACTGTAACATACCCATATGCCTTTTACACATGCACATGCACGTTTTTTCTTTCCAGGGGGTTTATTAAAATTGAGTGAGAAGTGTTTTTCTCGATTTCTCTGAGATAGCTTTGCTGTATAATTCAGAAGGAATTCAACACACAGTTTTGCCAGTTCGTGAAAGCTTTTTCTATTTCACTCATTTATTCTAGCTCTCATGTCAATTCCATTATTCCATAACAGTTAAGGTTTTACAGCCTTAAAATAATAAACGTATTTTCTTTTCACATTTTACAAGCCTATTGCGCATTGTTTTCACTTTTGAGAAGCAACAATACATGACTTTGAACACCTACTATCACATCAGTGACCAGAAACGTCTATGCAATTTTCTTCTAAACAGTGAAGTTTAGCTGAACAGTGAGTCAGGATCTCCTTCTGCAGTTTCATTTTAGCTTTTTTCTAGAAAGATAGATTCTCTGAAAATATAAAAGAGACTGCAAATGATCAGATAGCAACTCATATAGACAAGCTAGACAAACAGAGATGCATTACTGAACAATGTTTAAAGCATCAATCACAATATTTCTCCATTCCATGCATTCCACATCCTGCTGTTGATCTAGAGGACATGATGAAATACGCTTCACTACTGCTTCGATTATTCTGCAAGTTTATCCTTCTGTCTTCTCTTCTACACAAGAAATGGTTTACAAATATATTAAAATTGACATAAACAGCCCTATTGCGACCCAATTTTGTATCAGTTCCCTCGACTGCTATGTTTCTCCCCAAGTATCACCGTGGTCATAATCTCATTTTATTAACAAAGCAATTGTTGCTGCTATATAGAACAGCACTTGAATCTTCGTCACGTGGACCAGAATACACTGAAGTTGTGTGATAGCTTTTGTTCCTTTTTTAAAAGTAAGTCATAGCTCTAACTACTAGTAGAAGTAGGCAATAAAGCAGTTTTCTTCTGAAAACTGGTTTTCAAAAACTGATTAACACACGTGAACTTGAACAATTCCAGAGAAAACGTCACATATAACGGAACATTTTTCTACTGGAGCAAAGTCATCATTTGAAACAAGATCTACAGGGCAGCAAACAATCATTAAGATGCTTTATTGACAACATCCACTCACCGCAAAAGTATCTGCCTGCATACAATTAGATCTTAGCTTTTCAATAGTGTTTTATTGGCAGTGGAAAATGCATCAGTACTTTATTGAAAGAAAGCAATAAATAATACTGTGATAAAAATAGTTCAAAAGTAGACTGTACATATTGTTACATAATCTGAAAATACACAAAAGATTAATAGAAAAACAGAACAGTAACAATGAATTTCAGTTTTACAAGCAAGTTAAAAGTGGAAAACAAAATAAGAAAAAAGACATGCTATATATATTGTTGCATAATAAATAATGCACCATCTGAACAGAGTCTCGCTGGCTTTTTAATATGCCATTTACAAGTGTCGGATACATTTTCTACTCATACAGTCCAAAATGGCTACAACCGCCAAAACTGAAGTCCAGACAGCTCTTTAGAACAAGTTTACAAAACACAAAAGATGACTTACATAAGCAAAGTAAGGCCTTTATTAGAAGTTGCACTGCTTTAGCCCATTGTACCTTCATCTTTCACTACGCATTTGACATGAGACTGCAGTGCTTCATGATTGGTCCGTTAAAACTAGTTTCACCAGCATCTTTCCACAAGTGTTTTCAGTCAAAAAGATCTAGGACAAAAACTCTCTGTGGCCTGTGGATTACGACCAGGAATTATTATGAAGTCTATCTTCCTCAATTAAGGAAAAAAAAAAATAAAAACAGTTCTTGGTTTATGGCTTATTTTCAGTCACTGTGAAGATACGCTATACAAATACAGCAGAGAGTGTTATGACCGAGTCAACCACTTCTAAAACGTGTTCCGTAGTGTTATAGTTCCTCCCAGCTTTTAAAACGAGTTATATTTTAAATAAAGACAAATTCCCACTACTTGACAAATCCTTTTTGTGGAAAGGTACAGTTCTGAAAAGAAGAACGATCGTGTACCATACCTTCTACAACAACATATGCTCACCTGAAAAAAAGCTGGAGTTGTTTTCAGATCTAAGCTAACATTTCCAAAAGACAAAATATATACTGCTTGGTGTCACGATACTTTTACAAAGGTATTAAAATCCTTTTCACCTTCAGTTTCATTATTAAAAAACAATGATAATTACAGTAACTGCATAATTTACAAAAACCCTATATTACTTATAGGGACATATACATACAAGCATTACAGTACATTCAGTTGGAAAGACTAAAATTAGAATAAAAAAAATCAGCAATGATTTGATTTGTAGACTGGATAGAAACAGAAAAAGTAAGTAACTATATAAATGAGAAGTCACATAAATATAAGAAACATTTAGATTCTAAAATATTTTCTCTATAGTACTCATGAATTTATTTGCTAATTAAAAACTCTGTAATAAAATATCTCAAAGTGTCCATTTAACAAGTATTAACAGGTTAAGGGTTCCAAATGTTCAAAATGCTGCATATCACCGGTAGAAATAGTGTGGGTAAACTGTAAAAACAACAACACCACAAACAGAAAAAACACAGAAACACAAAAAAATTCCATTAGCAGTTTTTTAAAAAACATTTCATTCTAAGTTTCTCACAAACAACTCAAGTAGTGTAGCAGTCATGCATCGAATTATTGCCATGCCATGATGTATACAATTTTATTGCCTCCTGTGATCTTCAGTTGCAATGCAAAGTAAAGCACATGAGGTCAAATATTTCTGCTTCCTAGATTTTTATCCTGGATCATCTGACTATAGAAAATCCTGAACCAGTGGGAAGAATCTGGGGGAGGGGAAGACTTAAAACTTCAATGTCTTGAAACTAAAAAAATTTTAAGACAGCCCCTGAGATTATAAACTGACAGATCCACATGATCTGAGTCGCTATGTGCAAGAGTTTCCCTTCTCAACATTTCATACATAAGAACTCTTTAGAACTAAACTTGCATATGCAAAAAGGTTCGGAATTTGACGAAAAGGCAGCCAGTACATGAGTTGGTAGGGATGTTACTGGCGAGAAGAAAGGCAAGAAGCTGTGAGCAGAAGAGACAGGCAATTTATAGCCCATGGAGATACCAGCTAGTGGGAGAGAGTCACTGGATTTTTATTTTTTTAGAAATCCAGTATAGTAAAAAAAATTTAGTTTCCAGGCTCGTTTGCAAAATGAGAGAAATACTGTTCCGTGAGAAAATACAGCAGAGGCTGCTGAAGAAAAATCATTCCAAATCCTGGAGTAAGACAGGACTACCTATCTTTCATAAGCCAGAATGTATGTATTTTGTGTTAAACACCCTTGTGTTATCAAGCTGCCCTTTATTGTCAGCACTGCTCACAGCTACCCAAAATTAGGCTGCAGGTAGCTAAATCTAACCAAACCAGACAGCCTAAGCAATCACAGTAACAAAGTATCCAAGAATTGGAAAACTATGCAATTACCCCTATAATAATTCAATATTGAAGTATATTGTACTGGGATAACTTCGACCAAGCAAAGACCCTGAAAGATCAATAATCTGAACTGCAGTGTCACACACTAAATTATTTTCTTTCCTTTATAGGCCTAATTTAGTTCCCTTCCCTCCTCCCCACTTCCACTAGCTGTTTCATCCAACCTTTGATTTCAACACTTTATACACAGCTATTTAACATGGGTCCTTTTTGAGGCTGTTTAAAAAACACCCTCTAAAAGAATACAATATTTACAGAAGTCAATATTTAAACACTCATAGTCTTCATTGTAGGAAATAAGCTCCGGATTTTCAATATAACAATCTACCCTGAAAACTTGAAACAGTTTTGTAAGTGTATAAATTCACTGTATTGATACCCCTGACATTTTATTTCATAAATAACTGCTTTACTATTATACCTATCAACTTTACTCACCAGGAGAAGGCTTTAACAGGAGTAGGTCCTTACTGTAGCAGAATCCAATCTTTGTGTTCCTGATACACTGCCTATTTCAAGAAGCATGGGAAGACATGCAGAACACAGCATGCATGTTAGTTTTCAAAAAAAAAAAAATCTCACAGCAATTTGATTACAGCTACTGTACTCACCCAAATCTAAGGTTACAAGTTAGAAAAGCAGAATTTATTTTACAGTTTATATATTAACCGCTTCTAGTTTCAGTGGCTAACAAAAAGAATTCTAAAGAAGTCTGCATGCCAACCAGCACACAGAAATTGGCAAAGGTAATTTTATAAGTCATTTATTCTCTATTTTAAATAGTTTATATATTTTTATTTTCTGGGTTTTTTATTATCGTAAAAAGAAAGGGGTTTTACATGGTAAAGACTTGACTGACTTTATTTACAGAATTTTCCACATGAATTCTGGAAAATATTTTGTGCTAGTGACAATATTTAAAATTTAAAACAGCTCACATTTTACAGAGTAACATCAGATGCAAGGGTTGCTTCTTTGAGCTTTACTCATAAGTACAATTTTCAGAACCTGCAACAACTCTGACAGATGATGCTGAAGTTCTCATCCTGTCTGTTCCAATTAAATACATTTTCCGTTTATTTTTACTTGTGTTTTGTAAAACAAATTCAAGTAGAAGTTTATTCTCATGGTACTAAAGAGAAAACAGACAAGATACTCCATGTGACAGGTGATCAGCTTCCACTTCCAGCTAGGGTTTTTGGTGTTTGTTTGGGTTTTTTTAATGCAGTCTGTGCACATGCACACGCATACATATAGATCATTAAGTGCACAGCAATGAATGAAGTAGTGATTCCAAGTATGATCAATACTTAAGTGACCGCTGCAGGGGGGGTAATGCACCTTTTACTCAAGTTTTAATAATCTCAAAATTATCTGAGGGAGTTTACTCACATCATTTTAAATGCATTTTACTGCATTTCAGAAGCAGGACTTCCATTGGTCTAATTAATGCTAATTAGCAGTTAGGCATCACGTGATTAGAAGACTTCTACTAAAATGTAATTTTAGTTTCATGGTTTAAAATAGATTTATTTTTAACTATAATTCTCATTTTGTTATTCCAATGAAGTAAAAAGAAACTCCACATCTATTGCAGCTTCCTGAAATTATAAAGCACCCTATGGTTAAACACAGTGTTATATATACAACCATGCACAAGGCAGATGCTTTTATGCAGCAAAAAGGTAATTTGAACTTAATTCCCCTGTGATCTCAAGCAAAAAAGTGCATCATGCTTAAAATAATACAAAATCAATACCATCAATCTGCATCTTCTTTGGCTGCATAGAGGGTGAAGACATTGAGGTCGTAACTCTGAAATTTGCAGGAAGAGTCTCTGCTGATCCAGCAGCTAAACCTCTTATGTCCTTTGGTCTAAACTTCTTTCTCCATGAAGGTGCTCTCCTAAAACTCTTATCATCATCCTGTTATATTGATAAACATCATTAGCGATTCAAAAAATGTAGGATTGTTACTGACATTGAAGGGATTACTGACAATCTTAAGTAAATGTATTGCCACAAAATGAGTTAATTTTCAGAATGGTTCAGGTGCAACAGCAGCAGAGGTCTTCATTTGCAACAACCTGTATCCATTCGCTAGACTGTAGGCTCTGCAGCCCAGTAACTACGGAAATTCCTGCGCTCGGCACATTTAGGAACATGTTTTGTACGTTGAATGTTTGTACTTCATGATTTGCAGTAATTCATAAAGTGTCACATCACTTATTCTTAGGGGATATGAGGAGCGGAGCAGATCATAAAAACTGCTTTGGGAACACTGACATATAGAGGCTTAATTTGAACAATTGCTTTTAACCTTCAATTCTGTCTTACAGGAATGATGATACAGCTATCGTGCTTTCTCATGCTACAAATTACAGGAAGTGATCGTGAGGAAAAAAAAAGTGTAGTAAATACGATATTGCTGTGCAGTGTTTTGCTTAAGCACTTGGGTAAACTTGACTTGTAATTACCCAGGTGCATTTTCCCCCCATTAATACATCTGCATCTTTGAAGTAATAGTCCACTTTAGAAATATAATATTGCACTTACTAAATACAATAGTTTAAGTCCCACTTCCAAAAATGCCTTTTGCAGCGAAGGTATTATGTCAGTGCAAATATACCCATTGTGCATCTCCATTTGCCAACTTTGCCTTTAGAAATAGTTCAATCACCTGAATGCCGTTTTACCTAAAATTTATCCCCTTTTAGAATTAGAGGACAAGCATCTGCATTATTTGAAGAGATCTTCATGATTAACAAACTGCCCTGTGCCACTAGACCAGGGCAAACATCCATTCTCTCAAAGCTCCTTCTCTTGCAGTTTGAAATCGCAAAGGAAAAATACCTTAGAAAACTATCAAGCTGCTTTCTGAGGGTGTTATTAAAACCTTAGTAGAGATGCATACTGGGAACAGAGCTGCTAGGGTGTGCCACAAAAGGGCTGCAACAAGTCCATTAGGCAAACGATGAACACAAAACCAATCAAGGTCTGCCATAGCAGCCTCCTTCCTCAACATACTGGTGTATGCTTCACCTCACTGATCCAAAAGCAGTTTAAGCCAGCACTTTCACCCCTCCCCTGTTCTCTTCCTCATACCAGCACAAATGTTTCTGAGATATCATGGACTGGTTCCCTGACCCAGTTAACCACATTAGGGTTTTGACACCTTAGTCTTAACCTGAACCACTTTTGCCTACATGTGCTATCACATAAACTCCCATTAGCACCAAAGAAGAGGTAGCACAGAGTTAGGACTCTCTTGGGGAAGTAACAACAGCTTGAAACTGTTCACCAAGTTACAGCATAGAGCAACTTAAAAGGTTAAAGATGTAACACTCTTCTTTCTGCTATGGGTTCACAGGGTCTACAAAAAAAGCCTCACACCTAGTTTGTTAGAGTTTTATACTCATTACACTTGAATGAAGTTTATACACCGTAAGACCACAGACTGCCCGACAGAAATTACTTTGATGTGCAAACATACCTGGTGGTCATCTATACCAGTATTAACAACACAAGCTTTCTTGAAAAACACTCAATTATTTGAAATACTGCTCATTAGGACAAAGGTTTGAAATGTGCTATACATTTAGGACAAAGGTTTGAAATATGCTATACAGTGCCTTTATTATAGCTTGTTCATCTGCAACACTGGTCGCTAGTTTTCCCACATTTTAGATAGAAGATTCAGCCCAAAGTGCTGCGATTACACATTAACCATGCAAGCTACAAAAAACAAACTTGCAAATCATCTCAATACTTTCATATTCGAAGTTACCTTACCTAAATACACAAAACCTGCCATATTCAGAAACTGCTGAAGACACAGAATTTGAAGTTAAGACTTCTGCCACTATTCTGTCAATAGCTTAAACAGGTTCAGGCTAAATTCTTTCACTTAACAGTTCTGATAAAGTTCCCAGAACCATGAAATGGGTCAACACTCAAGTAACTTACTTCATCAAGTCTTCTGTCAGTGCCCATAGCAAGAAGGTTATTAAATTCCCTCTCCAGAACAGCACGAGCCTAAAGTTTATAGTACAAAAAAAAATAGAAATTAATTCCAAAAGATTAGTAATTAGTAACCAATAGTAATTTTTTTAGTTAATATAACACAAATTGTTTAATACCTTCTTATCAGATTAATAAACATACTTAGTATTTGAAAAGTTACAATTTAAGTTATAACTCATTAAATATTTAAGGAAGACTTAACAGCTCCTCCTTCCCTTCATTGTGATACGAAAGTTCATGATTTCTGGCTCAAATTTAATTATTTCAGAATAAAAACTAGCAAACAACAAAAATGATGAGTTTTACACTAATGTTGTAAAGATGGGCTATGAGGAAAATATTCAAACAATATTTTTTGTTCAAGCACATTTATCAACCAGAATTGTTATTAACAATTAGAAAACAGTAAGAAAAGCATAGCTCTATGTTCTTCTCTTATAGGATAATGGACAACTTTCAATTTCTACATTTTCTAGAGCTGGGAATAGAAAGACATGCACTTACCTAAGGAAAAAAACAGTTCCATTTTTAACCTTCCTAAAGGGGCCAAAATTCCTATCAACCATAAAGTAACTACTTCTTGCTTACCTGTGTGTTTTGAGTGGGTATTTGTAATAAGAGAGCTAATGCATTGTAATCAAATGATTCATCTAAGGCCACAAGTGCACCATGAACTCCGCTCTCTATAAGGTTATTTGCGTATTCTTTAAGACCAATGGACACTACCCAATGGATCATTCTTTCGTTGCTCCAGACAAGGACATCTATGGAGAAAAAAAGTTGCCTGATTTATGACAATACAGCTTTTCTGAACAAAAAAACCACAGCCCTTTCTTGATCTGCATGCTCGTGTCGGGATTGATTTTCACATATACACAATTCATCATAAATGCTGTTAAGCAGTAGCCCTCAAGGGATTGTGTTATTTAACATTTAGGTTGCGATCCAATCTGCCCCTGCCTTTTTGGTGTGCATGAAACACTCTGAATTGGCAACAAAACTTCATGCTTAGACTCCAACACTTGGTGTTGGATCCTTTCCATACAGTAGTTTTCCTTGCACCCAGAGGAAATAGTCCTTGCTCAATCTCCTCTCTCTGCCTACAGAAGGAGGCTACAGTCACAGTTACGAGACAAGTTCAGCTGGGCATAGCGTTCATAGAATCATAGAATAGTTTGGGTTGGAAGGGACCTCTAAAGGTCATCTAGTCCAACCCCCCTGCCGTGGGCAGGGACATCTTCAACTAGATCAGGTTGCTCAGAGCCCCGTCCAACCTGACCTTGAATGTTTCCAGGGATGGGGCATCCGCCACCTCTCTGGGCAACCTGGGCCAGTGTCTCACCACCCTCAGCGTAAAAAATGTCTTCCTTAGATCTAGTCTATATCTACCCCCCTTTAGTTTACAGCCATTCCCCCTTGTCCTGTGCAGATGGGGAAGACAGGACCTTCTATTTTACACAGCCACTTAGGGGCTTGGACCTCACCCAAGACAGATTAAGTATTTAGGAAAAAAAATTGTACTACTAAAAAGAAAAATCTTATAGCAGCTTCTCATGCACTTCCTACTGAATTTGAACAGAAAGCTTTATTCGTTATTGTTTAAAGCTTCACTATTTATTAGTTTTATAGTCTTATCTACCTTTACGTTCTGAAGGTGTTCAATTTAGTAATGCAGACTTACCTTCAGCTTGTGTATGCATACTACTACACTTTTCCACAATCATAAATTTAAAGTAAACATATTTGAAGCTTGCTGGAAGGCATTTCATACTCTAACAGTTCAACAAGCAATACGCTCTCATCTTGGAACTTTTTCACGGAAAAACATTACAAAGCAGCATTTACATGTTCAGCCCAAACATCAAAACAAAAACTATGTTCTGACAAGTAGGTTTTTTTTTTTTTTATACTACTCGGGAATGTCTATACCAATCGAACAGTTATAATGATCCACAGCGTGTTTCTGGCCTATGCCAACTAGTGTTCTTCCCGAACAATTCCCAGGAGGCATTCAAGAATTGTATGTTCCAAGAAGCAATCCCCTATAGGCAATAGACGCAGCCATACCATCAGGAGGCTAAAAAAAGGCTTACCAGCCACAACACAGGCTTGTTTCATGCCAGTTAGTTGCAATTCCTGGGAACGTTCTCAGGCACAACTAGAATAACCACCAAAAGGTATCCACACTTTAAAAGGAAAGGGGAAGAGCAGGCACAGAGCCTCCTAAGCAAATTGTGTACAAGGTAACCCTAAAATTTTAGTCTAAGATGTCAGAAAAGACTTCTGATATTAGGCAGAAGACAAAATTTCTATGGGAAGTCTTGGAAAATACTGTGAATTCCCAACCCTGCTTTTTCTTCTTTTTCTCCTGTCTTGTTCAATAATCACCATGTATCTGGAAGATATAAATACCTACGTCACCTGGATGTTTTTTCATAAAGTGCTGGGTAATAAAAATTATCAGCCACAACCAACAATAAAATCAAGTAGATGCAAAGTTATTATGTCAGAACAGGGGGAAAAAAAAGCCCAAAACCCAGATACTTTTTCAAAACCCTCATCCTCCTAAAACATTTAGCTTTGTTTCAAACTTCAGAGCAGTAAGAGTTTCAAAAATGCCTGCACTTGTATCACATCTCTGCACGAGTGAATGATTTAATGATGTGTTTCATGATTCACTGTTCAGGGCCTGCATCCAGACACATCTCCTGTATTTAACACTTGATATTTTATAAGTAATTCCTCCCTCTAATGCTTTTTTTCTTTTAATAAATTTTTAAGACAGATCAGTGAAAACACGTTAGAATCAGACTGAGGTCAAGACTATGCACTAACCCTTAATTTCATCCTGGCTTTCTTCCCTTTTTCTTTCAAGTTCTTTTCGATCATAATTCAGTCTTCGTAGGCACATAATTCCACACTGAAAACTGTTTCTGTTTAGAAAAGAAAAAAAAAACCACCACATTTACAGATAGTGGAAACATTTACTGTAAGTTAGGTCTCCAACTTAAATCTATTTACCTGTGAAAGCTGTCCACCATTTTAAGTTGCCCACGCAGATCTTTTTTAGTTAAATGATCCAGCATTCGAGCATCAACAAGACATTCCATGAAATAGCTGCGATATTGAGGGAGCCCCAGACTAGGGAGCCATTCATTGCCAATCCACTCATGGTTCATATCACCATATGCTAACGTCTGTTTTTAAAAGATTAAGGAATAAGCTTATTAAAATGAGAAATAAAAGAGAAAAGCTTTTTTAGACAACATATTTTAAAGAAAAGAGTAAAACAATGCTTACTTCTTAGCCTGTAAAGATAAGCAAATAAAAATATTGAATGCTACGTGTATGTTTTCTGAAGAAGTCATCCTCATGAAGAAAAGCAAGTTTAGATATTCAGATCAGCAAGTAAAACTGCCTTAATTTATTTCATGTTGAAGAGTGTGAAAAAATATGCAAAAACTAATAAAAATAAAAAAGACTAATCTATACTGTTTTGATAGCAAGAGCCATAGAATTTCATTTTGTTAAGATGCTCAAAACACTCTCTCTTTAAAACTGGGGGTGGCGGATTCTTGTTTTTCACATGGCTGTATAAATACAAGGTATCAGAAAATAACTGCAGGGATTTTGAGTACACTTAACTGTTTTCAGAAACTGATCCCAATCAAATAAGCAAAAAACTATAAAAACCCACTACTGAAGAACAAGCAATTCTAAATACTAGTCTTTATCCTAAAACAAACAAACAAAAACCCCACCAAAAAATCACCAACCAAAAAAGCCCAACTTCCCTCACTGCATTTTTTGACCTGCAAATCACCAGGCATTTTTTGGAGACAACTTCTAAAAAGAAGAGAGTTTGTAACTATGCAACTAATCATTCCTTGAGCAACAAAAAACAGCAGCTCTTTTTTTCAAGAGTCAAGGGTAATAATTCATTTTTACTGTGCAATTAGAAGTCAAAAGCTTTATTTCTCCTCTAGAGGAAGCACCTTCTAGAAAGGAGCAAGGCCACATAGAAATGCATTTCTTCAAGCCATCGCTAGGTCGCAGACTGAAAGAGCATGTTACTCTTGTAACAGGGAGGCAAGCTGTGATTGTTCTCATTGACAATCCACAAGAGTATCTGAGACACAGTTAATGGGACAAACAGGTTTAAGCTGGCGGGCAGCCAAGCAAGAAGAGACTATACTGTCCAAAGATACAGGTCACAGGCAAATCCTGAGTTTTGTTTATATCCCTGTATAAAATACTCGACTATCTCAATGCCTGAAAATACAATTAGGATTTGTCACCACTTTAAGGGAAAACAATTAATCAAGGAGGATTACAGAATTAGTGCACAGAAATCTACTTAACTATCTAGGCTCCGTATGTCTTGTAGCACACCTATAATAGTGACCAGGTTGAACAGGGACTTTCTGCACACAGCAGATAATTCTTGGACTTCTGACTTCCCAGAGAGCCACCCCCACCAAAACACTCCACACTTTATGTCATGAAATTATTTTAACATTTTATCTAGTATGTTCAATGCATAGAATACAACAATGCTTATCAAGAAAGAGTAACTTCATTTTGGTGATTCATAAGCTAGAGGACAAATATTTCAGAAAGCTAATGATAACAAAAACTTCTGAATATTCTTCTAACAGCCTCATTATTAAAAATCCTTATGCATAGCTTTTTTGGTGAGATACTATGCAACAAAGTATTTTACAAATTTTCAGTGATGAGCCACCAAATCTTGGACGTTCTAGAAAACATGAAAATATTTAAATCACCTAAATATAAAAGTGTATCTTCCAAGTATGTATTATACAGAGATAAGCCTGCAGTTTCCCCCTCTCCCAATCCCCAAGCCACACCAAGAGTCACTAAAAGAAACTGCTATAAAGGAAAAACAGATTCTTTTATACTCTAATTATTGTGACAGTTTACATATAGTTTATAATATTACATAAAGTTTCCAACCTGAGCCCAGCTTCCCTCCTCATCTTCCTGTTACGTGGTTAGAAAAGCAAAAGAACACATACGTATTAGTATTTAAGTTTAGTAAGGAGATCAAAGTTAGAGGCACTGCAAGACTAAGTCTACTGCATACCAAAAAAATCTAGATAAAGCAAGCATCATGCATCGTAAAAAAAAAAATACAAGGCACTCATTTTCATATAAGAGGTTGCAAAACCCATCTACTGATTAAGTTTTCTGGAGAGAAGACATTTCCGCAATGTCTTCAATTTGTCTATTAGTTAATCAAATCAGAGCTCCGTTTTATAGATTAGAGTTTTGTTTACAATCTTATCAATGTTGATTTTTTTCCCCCCTTCTGGAAAAAAAACTATCAAGATGCAGGTTACAAGGTTAATAATTAGAAGAAGCAATGATCCAGAATTTTAATGCATTAATTTGGAAAAAAAAGAAAAAAGAAAGACCAAAAGGCACTTGATTCAAATGTTCAAAAAGTGGGAAAAGCACTCTAGGAACAAAAGTGGCAACACTGTAAACTAACCGTTTGTTGGGTGGCTGTAAGATTTTCCATTTCTTCATGTGTTACCCAGACATTTCCCGTGGTCTAATATGACCCCACAGGGAACCAATCCCATCCAGTGAAAGGAAAGCAGTAACAAAGAGGAGAGGTTGCAGAACATATAAGCAATCGGTACATGTAAGGAGCAGGCATGGGCAAAAGCAATGGTTTCTAAAGTCTTAAGTATAGGTATATCTATTGAAAGTCATGGCATGGAATAAAAGCCTATTAACATGGATCACTTTTCTTCAAAGATATTAACAAAATTGAACGTGATAAATAGCTTACACTGATGTAATTAACGGGCAGACACTTGAGACTGCTCTAATCTGAAAAATGCAGTTGTAGTCTAGTACGTAATCCCAGGAATCTCAGAAATAACTTTAGATTGCGGGGCAGACAGACTGATGAGAGGGAATTCACACTAACTTTAAGTGTCTAAATTTACTGTAGTATAGAGAGACAGGTGGACTCCTAGTTTATGTAGGCTGAACCGTTATTTGGAGTTAATGGCCTTATGCATGGATTAAAAGAGCCTCCAACTACGTTACATGTTTCTGGATGCACATGTATACTTCATCTGTATTATAAATTCTTCTGAGGCCAAAAAATGAGGCAAATAACATGTACTCTAAATATTTTGGATTATATACTTACACTGACAAAGTTCTATTTCCCTTAAGAAAGAAAACATAGTTATTCCTTCATTTAATTTCCATGAAAGGAAGAAACGTCTTGTATTTAAATAATGTGTTTCTCTACAATTTAATGTTTCCAGAATTTCTTATTTGAAGCTCAAATCCTTTCAGTTACAAGTTTATGGCAGAATTTTTGGAAATTCTAATGGTTCTAAAAGATGTTCAATGCTGGATCACTTTCCTTACCGTCCTTGAGGTGGGAGGGGCAGATGGACTTGTTAGTGACATGATTTCTTGAATGGCCAGCCTCAGCTTCAGTCTGTGCAGAGGATTACTAATGCCAATTTCACGCTGTATTTCTGTATCAGACAAAGCTGACATGATAGCACCGCTTTTCACATTTGCTCGGCAAGCAGCCACATACCAGGCTGGCATCCCAACCCACAGCTGAAACACAAAAAAAAAGGAAGTAAGCAGGATCTGGGAAACATTCCTGGCTCCAAAACCTTAAATTCTTTAGAATTCTGTACACTGAGGTTTTTATTGTTTATTTGTTTATTTTGGAGGGACCACTTACCTCCAGCCACACAACCACAGTAGGCCCATCCCACTGTGCAAAAGGTAAACCTTGTCTTCTGGCTTCCTCAAGCAGCTCATGCCTACAATTACAGAAATAGTTATTAATAACAGAGAGAAACTAGTTATAACTAGATGTTACAATTCAAACACTGCATTCAATTGACCATCTTCTTTCCAATAGTTAGCTTTCTTCCTTTCTCAGCCTTATGAGATATACCCACTAAGGCAGCCACAGCACACGTACAAGGACTACCTAGTGACATAAGCTGAACTGGATAGGAAATTTCAGAGTGGCAGAGATGCTGGATCTTGCCTTTGGGAAATCTGTGTCTGAAACTGCTACTGACACTCTAACCAACACTGCCAACACAAAGTGGAGATGTCAGACTTATTTGTCAGTCAGATTCTTAATTGCTGCAATTTTCTGTTCAGCAAATTAAACTGAACCAAAATAGTCACTTCTCCTCAACGTGCAGATTTGAAACCTGTGGAAACGTATGAGTACATCAGATACCCATGCCATCGAACCAGTACTGTCCATCAGGCTGTTGAGGCTAGAAGCTGGGACAGTAACCATTTAATTGGCAAATTTCAGTCTGCAACAGCAAGGCTGTCAGAATTTCAGGCACAGCTTCAGACAACCATTATATTCAGAACGCCATGCTTTGGCAATTATATTCTGAAAGGCTGTCTACTGAAACTCAGCTTTCATCTCCTATGATGACACCATTTCCTTTGTTATTCTGGAACAGAAGAGACTGAAGTTTAACATTGACAATTCAGCTTACAGAAACAATGGAAGCTCACAAGATCCCCATAAATAGCTGCCAAAAATGTTTGATAAACCAAGAGACAAAAACTAGTGTTGCGGGTATTAGCATGCAATGTTGCTTGGATACTTCTGTCTGAAAAAATGGGTAAGGTCTGAAAAAAGCATATTTAAGCTGCCTTTGAAAGCTAGTTGTATATGGTTAAGTCTCCACTCACTCCCCTCAGAAGTTTAGAAAAAACCACTTCACCTAATTGGACAGTTTTTACTGTTTTATGCTTTTTATTCATGCCTGCAAGTGTAGAATTAAGAAGATAAGCAGCAATACTACAGATTCAGGATCCTACGTTATGTATTTATAATTTTCTCATAATTTAAAACAAACAAAATCTCCTCGCCTTCAGAACTGTATCGCTAAATACATCTACGATGATAAAATATTTAAAACCTACAGATATTAAAAAACTACCACACAAGACATCTTGAAAAGGGGTTACTGACAACCTAGTAGCTTTCTTTGCTAGTAGTGCAAAATGGATATGCAGTATTCAGCTCTTTTAGACATGCCAGCATACCTACGATCCTCACGTTATGTTGGTAGATAACTAAATATAAAAAATAATCAATGAAGTAATAAATATACTAGCAACTGTTTTATCAATAGTACTTCTCCACCTGCATGTCAATAAATTCCTATTACTCTAGAAGAACCTCCCAATACCTTCTCCTAATTAAGTGTGCTGCCTAGGAATAAAAAAAGGGGAGGAAGGAAGGAGCTACCAGATAACTGGTTACAAATAGCCATTCTAATGTACCCATTTTAAGACCCAACAATTAAGGCGGAAATAGTGTTCAGCAGTTAGCAGCTCAATAGCTAGATTTCACTAACAAAGACTGTAAAAGTTAATACATATTTGTACACTTCAAAAAGATACATATATTTCTAAATTAGGAATAAAGGATCAGCTATTTTCCTGCTACTGCGGAACACGTTATGTTAATCCCACAAATCACTAGCCCTGAATACATTCAGTTTTGCTTCACTTCGTTGCTTAAAAATTAAAAAAATGAGAAAAATAAATTAATAAGATATTATAAAATACTGCTTGGTAAGAACAGAATAAAATGCTTAATACTGTATTTGCCAGAAAGGAATACAATGTTTTTTCCAAGTATTTTAACTTCAAGATTAGTGTCTTTGTCTTCCTTTTTGGTGGTTGTGGTAACTCAACCATGCAGTGAGGGAGGCCCACTAGTGATGAAAGAGCACAGACATGCCCAAAGTAGCCTCAGGTTTGACTACGATGACCCCACGAGAGCATGTAATCACTGCCTCCCCCCCAGCTTATAAAGCTGCTTGGGGTATTGGATGTAATTCAAAGAACGGCAGTGCAATTTCTGCTAGTTTTATAAGTCTCCCTGCATACTTCAAGTTAACCATGAAACACCAAATCATTTGGAGGTGAACAGTACAGGGAATGTATCAACAGCATAAGGAGAGGTTATAATGCAAACTTCAAAACTCACGGCGGTGAGTTTAAACTGGCACGGGTTGCCCAGAGAGGTTGTGGATGCCCCATCCCATGAAACATTCAAGGTCAGGTTGGACGGGGCTCTGAGCAACCTGATCTAGTTGAAGATGTCCCTGCCCACGGCAGGGGGGTTGGACTAGATGACCTTTAGAGGTCCCTTCCAGCCCAAACTATTCTGTGATTCTATTGTATGCAGAAAACAATTCTGTGGCTGCAAGGAAGTGTTATGTGATGGAGGCAAACATGTAGAAACAGAAACAAACAAAGCAAACATGTTTGAGATAACTTTATGCAGAAGTCATACAATGATCCAAAGAGGAACACATCCATGAAGTAGAAAATTATTGTGGAATTTGTTCACATGCAAGAAGAGATAGAAACTTGCTTGCACGGGAAATCTTTAAACTGAAAGCTCAAGACATAGCACAGGCACAAAACATCTCATGGGAAGAATTCAAAGGCAGCTGCTGTTTTATCTGCAAATGACGCATCAATGGTTTTTTTCCTATAGCAGAGAACTTCACTTTTCCAACAATTGCCTTCCAACTTCACCAAGAAACTCACTGCATTCCAGCAATACATGATCAGATTATGTAAAGATCACAGCTGACATGCCAGTTTAGTTTCACAGCCATCCAATTCTACCATTTAAGAAGTGGGTGCAAAATCCAGCTTCCTATCTTTGTGAGGGGAAAAAAATAATATTGAGTAGTGTTGGCAGTGCTAACAGATGGTATAAAGCTGGCACTGTGAAGGACAAAAGAATGTCAAAGGAGTAGCTGGCTACTGGAATAGCTCTTAGGTGACAAAACCAAGGGATAGATGTCTACAGACTTAACAAAAAGTTGGCTGAACGTCACTGGGAACGCAAGACCAAATGTGCTGCTGCAAGAGGGGAACACTTGTTGTTAGACACATTCAAAAGGGCATCTAACACCAGCTGTGGAGAACAAAGAAACTGTGGTCATATGGGATGAGAAATGATGTCAAAACTGCAGGTGCCTGATGTAGTAGTGAACACACAAGGCCCTTTAAAGACCATCTGAAGTATTTGTATTTAGAATGGCTCTTGGCAGGCAAGCATACTCTAACCCCACAAGGAAAATAAAGCAGCCCAGTGCACAACACCACTTTGTCATTGGCTTAAGACAGCACAGGAACGGATAAATCCAGAACTTGCAGCCAAAGGGGAATGCTGTAGTCCAGATTTCTTGGATGGAACTGAAGAGAACTGATTTGGAAGAAGTTGAGATTAGAGGAAACACTGTAGGGGAGGTGGTGAAGAGAGTGACAGGGATGGAAATGACAGAGTTGCAGGATGCAAAAATGGAAAGGCAACAGTAGCAAAACATGAGATGAAAATAGACTAACTTCAGGCAGAGCATCAGTGGAAAGTTAATATCCTTATTATATACTGATTTCAGGTACGTAATAAACTTTTTGTGGGTAACATTTTTAAGGAGAGTTATCTCAAATTTAGGGTTGCCTTCCTTTTTGATAACACAGTATTAAGTTTGTTGTGTTGTACACAGAAAAACACAAATACAGTTGTGGCAAACACTGCCAATAGTACAGCTCACAGAGAAGATGAGCAGAATGAACAACACACTAAAAACAACTTGAATTTAGTAAAAAGAGCGACGGTTTACAGAAATACGTCTACCTTGGAAATGAATTGCCACAAATGCCTACTATTGCTAAAAAACTTTCAAAACCCAAATTACAAAACTATTCCATCTAAGTAGGGTTTAATATTTCCATTATAAAAATTCACACCATGCAAATTAAGACACGACATTGAACTAGCATTCACACTAAACTAGATGACACTGGATTTATTTCCGCAACACATTTTCACAATAAATTCTTTTGAATCTAGTATCTCCTCTCATAATTAGACCTTTTTGGAAAAAGTTAGGGCTTTTAATATATTGCTAAAAAATCCAATTGAGATTTATCATAATTTCACAACAATCCTAATAAAATAAATATAAACTTACCCTGATCTTGCACTACCACATCAAATGGTAAACAAAAGGAAAATAAAACAATGAAGGCAAAATATAAAACTAGGATTAAACTGAACTCAAAGGCATACAAAACCAGACAAATAACGTATACCATAATTTAATTCCGTAACTATAAATAGGTTTTTGTTAGTAAAGACACTGAATACTGCCCTCAGCCTGTTTGTGTGCATGCATGCAGAAATCAGAAAGATAAGCAAGCAAATAGGGATTAGAGCAACTATAAATAGAACTAGCTGTCATTGTTCCAAGCATTCAGGTAAGTGGAATTCTTTTCACTGAATACAGGATTTTATAAGTGAAGAGCCAGCCTCGAGAATTTGTTTTAACCCCACCCTCCTCCAATATCAAAGTAAAAAACAATTCAGAGCAGCTTTACCACGTTTTCTTTTTGATAATGAACGTCTCAAGAAGGCAGCAAGGGATCTTTGACACTTCGTGATAATATCGATTCCTACGTTCAGAATACCCATCAGGATTCTGAAACAGCTGGATTAAAGTATATTGCTGGGATTTTTAAAATGGTAGATTTGCTTCTCATGGAAGTTCAAAGGGCCCTGCTGCTGCTTTCAGCAATAATAAAATAAACATTATGATACGTATCTTCATCAACACGGTCTTGTTTCATACCCACTTTCACCGAAATATCTGAATCATAGATACCTTCCTGTGAATAAGCACGTACCCATATTTAATAGCTAGGCAAGGCAACTTCAAACTAAAAGTTTTCATTTGTCTAATATAGACACTTGCCTTTTAAGCAACCAACAACATGCAGCCATAAGGTATACTTTAAGTAATACCAGTAAATTTTTGAAAGGCAGAATGTTTACAAAGAAAAGGCATGATTTATCTGCAACTGCCTTTTTTGCATTTATTAAAGCAAGACAGCATAGATCGTTTTACTCTAGAATGAAATTTGTTGCTGGTATTGAGAAAGATCTATACTGTTCAAAGAATAGACCTACCGCTATTTAGATATGACCAGACTAAAACTATTTATTCAACCAAAATGTGGTATGACTTTAAAGCTCTGTAGAAAAGGGAAAATACCAGATCATAATAATGTACGATTGCCTTCAGTGTAACAGTCTGAAGAAAAACAGCTGAGCCTTCTGTTATACAAACAAAACCACATTCCATCTTGACTTTTCAAACCAACACACTGCTGGTTTTCATTAGCAGTCACCAGGCATTATTCTTATTTGTTAATAGAACTTAAGTACTGCATGAAATCGCTCTCGCAAAGAGAAAATTAGCACACTTTCTTTTCAACATTCACTATTCTGTCCTCAGAAGTAAAAAAGCAAGACAGGTCTGATCTTGGTCAGCTTTTTTGACACCGAGTAGAGAGCCGAACAGAACAGAAGCAACAAAAGTTCAAGGTATATGGCTCAGTTTTGGGCGGAAAAATGCAAAGAATGCCTGAACCTACTTACATACATTTGAGTGTTTCCTGTATTACCATATAAGCATCAAGTCAAGATTTCTACTAGTAGCAATATCTATTTTCACCTATGATTATAGTCTTTGCTCCATCTCTTCTAAGCCTGGGAACAACAAAGCGTTCAATAGATACTCAAAAGGTGAACATTAAACTAAAGATTTTCTTGGACACACACTGAAAAAATTCTCACGACTAGCAAAAGGTAACTGCGTATCCATGCCATAAAAAAAAGGCAATAGTCACAAATTATTAAAAAACAGAAAATCAGGGGTATACGGTGCAAGGAAAAAAGATTTTGGCTGTTAAAATAGATGAGAGAAAATGTCAAGACAACCTCAAACAGAAGTAAAAATATTAGTGAACGCAGCAGCGGTTAGCAACACAAAAGGGAAGACTTTCAGAGTCACCTGCTAGAAAGGAACCAGCAAAGGATGTCTGTACAGAACATCTCATGCTTTCACTGTCAAGTCTTTCATATTCTGGAGCAAGTAATAGCCAAAGACAACTCTGGGAAATCTTCCAAATTAATTAAACCCAAAGCAGGTATTTAATAAACAAATCTGGGAGAAGGTTTGATAAGAGTCCTTTTTTATCTCCAAGTTTGTTTATTAGAGCATTTCAACAATAAGCTTTCAGCACTGAAATTTGTTTCAAACTTACCACGACCTATGCTACTATAAATGTTCGGGGAAAAAAAATAGTAAAAAAAATTCTACAGAGGCTTATTAGCCATAGCACCATACTAGGCAAAAATACCTGAAAACAAACAAACAAAAAGAAAAAAAACATTTTTAAACAAAGCAATATCTTGACGACAGAGGATTAAAAATATTCAGTAACTTACTTTTTCTGCATTTTCCTGTTTTTTTCTGCCTGACCTCCAAGTTTGCTGAGACCTAATGCATCCTGAGACGAACTATCTGCTTCTGCCATGCCAACTACAAAAAAAAAACAAACCAAAAACCAGTCTTGTTATCTTCTCAATTCTGGCCAGTTATAACTCAAAATCACTACTGCTTTCCTGAACAAAAGTATTTAATTCTTCGTAATATTACTGATCAGAAATGTACAAAGCCACACTTCCAAGCCCATCTATCACTCTATTTTCTAGTTGAATTAATACCCATCAAAACGGTGTATAAAGACAGGAAAATCAGACTGGTATGGACTCAAATAGGTGCTGCCTAAAACCAGCTGGAGTCACACACACGTTTCAACCATCTGTAAGATAAATTCTCAGTGTTCCCATATCACTTATGGTTGGTGTCAACATCAAGGATCCCGCTTTATGCAAAGAATTATGCAAGAGAGAAAGGTAACCATAGCATTTACTAAGCCAGCTGGGTTCGTTTCAAGGCAGTTCCTTTGCGTCCAAAGTGAAGACATGACTGTTGGTGTCAAAACCAACAAAAGCCTCTTTCACTTCCGATACGCAGTTGAAATTTTTGCTTCACAAAACAAGCTGTAACAGTTCAATAAGTTTCAATAACCTGGTACATGAGACTAAATGACAGCAATACCTGACTCACTGAACTTGCATCTTACACTCATAAAAGGACCTACCAGAAGATTCAGTGTCACTAGTTCCAAAAAATGCTGTACATCAGCATCAAAATAATCAGGCATAAATATGCACATACTGATACAGACATCATAAAATTCAGTCTTTCACTCTCTCTCTCTTACCGTGCGCAAAAAAGAAAAAAAGCAAACCAACCTTGTCCTAACGTTTCCTTGCCTGTTTGTCCAGGTCGTCCCTTTTCTTTCTTGCCAAACAAGCGGCCAATAGAGGATTTGATCCCCTTCTTTTTGGGGGCTTTATGAAGGGAATCTTGGCTACTATTGCTGCTACTAGGATTACTTGTTTGCCCATCTTGCGAGCCTGTTGAGCTTTACAAAACAAGGAGTCATAAAGGAGCACATGTACACCAAATTCACTGGCATAACATAGTGAGAGACAGGTTCAGGTTTCTGTGCAGGTTAACGAAAGCTCAGTAAATCACTAATGACATCTAATTTCACCTTTTAATGAGTCATGAAAAGAAACCTATCTACTAAAATACATGTCATTAAACAGAAAAAACAGTGGAAACAACTAAATCATGCAGGAAAGGAAGGGTTATAATATTTATATACTACAGCATGGAACTACAAGGCAATTCTTACTTTTTTAAGAAATAAAAGTGTTTAAAGTGCAATTCAGAGAGGCCAAAGTTGACAACCCAAGTTCCTGACAAATTGAGGCAGACAATGGAAGTTTGAAATACTTGAGTGGAATCCATCTCAGATACTTAGGCACTTTGAAAAGAAAGTCTGTCAATCAAAATGATGGCAATTTTGCAACTTATTTCTAAATTTATAGCTAAATTCCGACCTATGAAAGACGACTGGAATTGTACCTCTTTCATTTCCTAAACATGAAGCAAACTTAATGCAGACCTTGAGTACCAGAAGAATTCTTCACATAAAGCCATTTCTGATCATTAACAAAATCTGTATTCTTGTTGTTTATGTAACATAGTCATCCATTTATGTGTTCATTCTCTCTACTTTCGAGAAACGCTTCAATATCTAAACTAAAATCCTACAGGCTGAACAGCTTTGCAGTTTTAGGATTTTATTCTGATGATCTGAAACACTGAGTTACTGCTAGGTCTGACTTATTCACAGCTACTTACTTTCTTATGTCCCTGATATCTTCATGGCTCACTGTATGCAAAGCTCCTTTTTGGACTCTGTCCAAACGCAAAGATCGAGGTGAAGAAGGTGGTGATGTCTCACATTTTATTGTGGTTTTATCATCTCGTACCTCGTCTCTAGAAGCTGGAGACTAATGGAAAATGAATGAAAACTTGAGGGGTTTGTTGGAAATGACGAAACATGAATGCAATATCAACGCTAAACAAAATATTGAAAGGAAAAATCAATTATTTCAGTGTTAAAGGATTACTCTTGCCCTTACCATTCTGCAGTTGCCTATTTTTTGTTTGACTTCTTTCTGGATTTTCCGTTACCTTCAGTGACAAACTACTAAATTTCAGTCTTAGCTAGTTAAATGAGCAAGTAGCACTCATCTTTAGTTCTTAACTCTATGAATGAAAAAAAGTAATGTCTTCAGCACCATAAAACTAATATACCCGACTTTAGTTTAAGCAAGTGCAAAGACAGAAAACCAAAGAGTCCTGTGAAAAGAACGCATCTTGATTCTCACTGTTATGTGTTTAGACAATCATTAGCAAGATTACCAATTCTATGAAGTCAGTTTCTACATATCTGTGGCTATGGCTTATCTCAAAGTTCAAATAACAGAAATTAAACTTATTTGTGTGTGCACTAACAGATCTTTAAAATTAAATATTGTTTCATGAAGACTGCAAAATAGTGGTTACAAACAGAAAGCAACACAACAGTCCCCCACACCAGCAAAAAAAGCCAAACAAAAAACCCACAAAACAAAACAAACCCATACTTATGTTAAGATGATAAACCATTTTATGTTTGACATCAAAGAGCATATAATCTTGCTTTATTATAGGGTTAGCCTGCAAATGCTTTCTTTTATGTTCCTGTTATCCATTAATGAGTTTGGGGACAGGGAAGGAGATGAAGGGGCACACCAGTAAATAAAGAGTTTTACCTTTCTACGGTGTTTCCTTAAATCACTAGGCTGACAGATGCATGCAAAGAAAAGAAATTTAGAAAAGCCATATTTACTGTAAACTGTAGCACAGACTGAAACAACTAGTACACACAAAACATATTAGGGAGACTATAAATAACAATTACAGCAATGGCACAGAGAAAGGTACAGAGTATGAAGTACTCTTCAAATCACAGATTATTTAAATGTATCCCTGAAGAGGGGAAAAGGAAGGAAAAAAAAAATCAAGACTTATAGTTGGTTATCTACAAAAGTACCGTAGATATTTCAATGTATTGGTACCACAGGCAAATTAGCACACAAAACGTGCATTACCTTCAGCAAGAGAAACCGTAAAGCACATGGGGGCATAAGGTGTTGCTTTTAAAAAGTGAGAGGATTTCCAGTCATATGTCAAGGACTTGCCTTGAACTATATAACCTACATGGTAGCCACAGCAGGCTATGTAATATGTTGTCTGAGCTAGTCCCTTCTCACACCTTAGCAATTTCCACAGTTGTTTCCTACATAGCATAAAAAGCAGCCATACTTTAACACTGTGAAAGACAGAGTGCCAACAATAGCTGATTTCTATACAGTAACAGTATTCTGTTCTTTCCACTAAGTTTAAAGTGCTGGAATGTTTGAGCAAGAGTCTACCACCAGTTTTATTTTATCCTCCATCCACTCCAGAAGTCACTGTATCTCAATTCCTAGGTGCTTCCCATCTCTGCCAGTGCACAGAGCAAGGCAGCAACCCTGAGTTACATGAACAAGTTATCAAGTTATTAGGACAGATGCTGACAAAAGTTTAATTGAGATAACTTGCTTAATAATTATCACTGTATTTGGAGACAAATTACTTCAAAAGACCGTAACCAAAATAAAGTCAGTCCCCTTCGAAGTTTGGCAGGGGAGTTGTGTGTTCTTTCCCTCCCACAAATGACAACTTTTAATCATTTTTTATTTCAAATACATGCAAACTATGCAGCGTTAATGTGCAAAGTTTTGTTCAACCTGACCATAGAGTACTATGTTAATAAATCGTAAGTTCATAGAATCATGGAAGAGTTTGGGTTGGAAGGGACCTTTAAAGATCATCTAGTCCCTCCAAGTTCTTAGATAAAGCGCAGACGACTCCTTTTATCCTTGCTGGATCTTTCATCTATTAAACCTGGTAACCCATAAAAATGAAAATGTTTACCATATGGAATGAAAACTGCCCACAAGAACTGTTCAAGAGAGCCGTAGGTTTCACAGTTTATCATGTTGATGCTTTTTAATTAATTTTAATCATGAGGGGTTTTTCAGCTAACTGAACTGCCTAGCACCACTACTGCGGTTAGCATTAAGCTAATGTTGCCATCCTGCTCAAACTAATGCAACTTTCTACTAAAACGTCGAAAAAAAAAACCCACAAGAACTCATTCAGTCTGATAATTCATGACAGCCGTTCCACAAGTTTCTAGAAAGCTCTTGTTCTGTAATTCTAGAAGCATAGCTTCCTGTTTTCATGCTTTCGCAAATCAGTTGCCAGGTACTAAAACGTCAGACCAATGCAACTGCAAACAATGGATCAAGTGCCTTTGAGTTACAATTGTTATGATCTAAAGTGAACTTAATTATTTTACTTTTGTTCAGTTACATTAAATTTTAACATAAGACATACATTCTTCTGACCTAGTTTTCATGAAAACAACTACTTCAATTTGCATATGGTCTTCTGTAAGAGAAGTACTTAGCTTAATTACTTATTACTGTGAAAAGTTAGAATATAAAGCACTACACATTTTGAAATTTTTTAGTTTCTGTAAAAGAAGTGTGCTTGACCCTGGATATACAGCTAAAGCTAGTATAATTTTTATTTTTTTTTTTAAATGCAAGAAAGGCTATTCCTTTTTAGGAAAAAAATAGACTTTTTGGTATACGTACACATTCATTTTAAAAAGCCAGCAAAAGTAGTTAGCCGCATTACTTGTTTTTAAATGCTCCTATAAGAGACCTAAATGAGCCAAGTCGGTCATTTACAGTCCACCTGCTCTTACAGCAATGGGTAGCATTCCTTGTCTACCAATTGGTATGGCATAGGCATGATACAAGTGCAGTAACCCAAGACAATAAGGTATACTAAGTATGGTGTTGCATGTACAACTAAGTAGTATAGTTTCCAAATGCACATGCAAACCTGGAGAAAAAGTAATGTATATAGAGCTAAGTTAGAGAAGGAGCTTTTCCTGGAGGGTGCTTGCAAATAAATACCTGTATCCAAGATGCTCCTTAGTGAAAGGAATTCCAAATACAAGAAAGTGTTGGATTTATTTAACATTTATGTAAAAACAAAAAAGTGGAAAACTTGTGTCTTGCTTTTACAGATAGGTTTACATGCATAAAGCAGCTCCTAGAAGGATTAATTTTTCTAAGCAGTCATATGAATGTCAAAAGAATGGATCCATCTTTCTCTACTTGCCGAACTGCTAAGCCCAAGCTACTACTTCATCAGCTACTAGGTCTAACAGATGCTTCTTTTACCTACCAGTCTTAATAGGCTAAAACAAGGCACTAGCACTCATTAATATTAAACCAGCTGTGATACCTTCACAATCGTGAAGACTAATGCAATATATGCAAATGTCTTTTTAGCTGAGTATTTAGTGGAATAGTGGACTGCTAAAAATCAAGTTCAAAGCAGAGGGAGAAACTGGTTGCTGTACCAGGGGTTGAAAAGAAAACATTATTTCTTCTAGGAAGAGGAGTCGGAAGAAAGACCATAACAACAGAAGGAATACTTAGGCATGAGATGTTGACCAAATAATAGACTTGAGTTCTGAACGTTTTTCCTAATCATTATGACTGTATCTTACACTTTTTATAGAAGTTGAAAGGAAGCAGTAGAAAAACCTAGAGAAAGGAAAAATACAGCTGAGTAAGAAGGAGAGGAAGGGGAAATCAAACCACCCATTTCCTAGAGAAAAGGAACACTTTTCTGAAAAATTAAAGTTAATGGATACTTACCAGTGTCATGATACCTAGTCTGTCCACTTCCCGAGCTGGACTATGTGGAATCCGCCTTGGGGTGGAGCGGCCACTGCCAGGCGGGGAAGAACCAGCAAGTGAACCACTTGCATAGGGAGGAGGAATGGAGCTCATGGACCGGAATCGGCCATGGGCATCCAAACTTCCACTACCCACTCTGCTTTCAATCTCCTCTGCACGCTGCTCTGTGTTTTCCTTTTCTTCTTGTATAAGTCTAAAAGAAAAAAGTTTCAAAAGGAACATGAGATTCAAACAAGTACCATATAAACAGAAAGGCTGACTCGGGCATTAGAAAGCAGCAGCACTTGGCAGACAAAACAGCTACACTGAAAAAATCTTCTAATCCAATCTGAAAAAAAAAAAGTGGTAAACACCACTGCTATCACCATCATGCAGGGACTTCTGTCAAACTAGTAATACACAATCCCTTCCATAAATGGGACTGAAGTCAAAGAACCTGAAAAGAGTACTTAGGCATAAGCAAACTAGTTAGTTCTGTCAACCCGCAGGAAACTGAATGGTCAACCACCATTTTCTGAGTAACCACACAAAAAGGATTTCTACTGTCACAGAAATTCATTTTTATCAAAACCTTAACAGCAGATAGATCATACCTAATCTCTTTGTTGATTGCATCCAACTGTTCTTGAAGCATCATGGCCAAAGTCTGAGCATCAGCCTGACCACTTGGTGATAGCAGATCAACTGAACTGAAGATAGTTTCCCTATCATCCTCAACATCAGACACATCAACATCGCTTTCAAATGCTTGTGCCACATTTGCCAATACACTTGCTTGCTGGGCTCGCTCCCAGTCCTGCTCGTTTAGAGTTTGAACCTAAGAGAATTAATTAAAAAAAAAATCCAAACTCAAATGGGAAAAACATGACATTTCTACTGTTTTTCAAGATGTTTCAAATAATTTTTAAAAAGCCCACTTACATGCTGGATGCGTCCATCAAGACAGCAATGTTTAGAGAAATGTAAAAAAAAAAAGCTATAATGTAGAAAACTTCGCATCTTACAGGTAAGTGAAATTTTAAAATGCACAGTCCCATATCTTGGCTATATGTACTTTAAATTATGGCAGAATTTTGATAGCAAATCCAATGAGAATTTTGGAATCAGCTTTATGTAATGCGAACTTATGTCTCCTGAAAGGGACTTCAAGTTGCTTGCAGAACAGTAACGTGATAGATATTTTGTGTATAGGCACAATAGTAGGACTGTTTCAACTTATATTTTACAGGCTTATCACACGTAAAACAAATTGGAGTTCAAAATCCCAGTTTTGCAATTATTTGTTAACAATTAAAAAGACTCGTAGCTGTGCATTAGTAAAACGGGATACATAAAATCTAGCAGTTTCATTGCTAGGTACCCCTATTCTAAAAACTACTTGCATTGCAAGGAGTTTTGCAAGATCAGCCTCATCTAATCTGCTTAGTTGCCAAAGTTTTATTTTTATTTTAATTTCAGAGTTTATTACCTTTGAAGGCTCATCTCTGAGCGCTGCCAAGCGTCCTTTCTGGGGACGCCTTAACACTGATGAGGTGCCATAGGAGTCTGTATGACTGTCAACCACAGACGAAGATGTCATAGGGTACCTGAACTCTGGTCGGCTAGAACACAAAGAAACATTTTATCCTTACGAAGGCAGGGGAAAACAAACCAAAAAAACCCACTCAAATGATTCCTGTTGTTCCACCAGTGCCATTTTTTCTAGGCAGTATAAAACCTGCTTTATGTGCTCTATAAAGAATACGTTTTATAGCTATGACTAATGTATTTTCAGTTATAATAGACAAAATTATATTTTGCAAAGTGACTTTAAAGAAATTAGAAAAAACTGAACTGGAATTAAGTGCTGATACCTATGATGAAGTGATGTGGCTCTGAGCCTCACTTGGTCATTTTCAGCCCTTAATGCTTCAACATTTAATACAAGTTGATCCTGTAAAAATAAATAGATGAAATACATAACAATATACTTAAAAAAAAAATCAGTGTCAAATACCAATTTATAAACTAACATTGAGGGGTTTTTATCTCATTTTTACGAAACTCAGAAATAACAGATTTTAAAACATATCCTTCAATGACTTAAAACATAAAAATTATTTTTGCTACACACAATACAGCACCACCACAAAAGGGCATTCAGGAATAATTCTGTTGCCTCTCTACACTGTGACTAGGTAATGACAATGTGTATTTTAAAAACAGCTACTAAATAAAATTCACATATTACTAGCTTTACTATAATTAAGTGATAATGTTTAATAAGAAACAAGAAGATTTTTCAAGCGCTGTGCACAAAAGGTTCTAAATGCATTCACTTTTAACTTTTGACATTTTCACATGCTCTAGAAACTCAGAATTTAACAACAGAGGAATCCAATGAATGAGAAAACAATGAAAAAGTAATAAAAGTGGCTGATGATGAACATCTGTGCCTTGTGTGAAAACTGCTGGCCTACACATACAAAAATTCAAAGCGCATTCTGCAAAATATTCTGAATGCGTTCTTCACTTTATTACAGAAGCACATCCTCTACAGTTTGGCCTAGCTACTTACTAGAATGATTTGGGGAGATGCAGTACACCTGTGATTTAATAAGCAATAACAAGTATTATTTCAGAACAGACAGTGCGACCACAAAATCAATTGCCACTGCTTAAGGATGCAAAGAAATGAAAGGCCCCACCACTATTATTCAAGAAGGGAACTTGTCAGTTCCAGGACAAGCAAAACACCAGACAGCTGCTACTGCAAAGGAACAGCCAAGTCTAATAAATATTTCTCTCCCTGCCCCGCAATTCTTAAAAACTTTAAAAAAAAACTTTTATCAGTCGAACAAGCATTTCATGATACCCAATGCTTTAAGAAAAAACTTAGGGGAAAATACCCAACGTTAAAAGTATTTCTCTTTTCTTTTTACTGTTCAAGGTCATATGTACAACAGTATAAAAATGCTACGCAATCGTCAAACTTCGGCAAATTGCCAATATATCCAGCCACTTTACATATTCAGAAGCGTGTTAAGTCTTTGAGTAAAAAGCTATGTATTACCTAGAAAATCATCATAGCGCTGAGGCACACAATACCATAAAATGAGCAATAACAGCTCCCTACTTTTAAACAGACGAGGCAATGTTAAGTTTTATGGGAGAATTCAAATCTGGTCCTGCTAGATAGCAATGAAGCAATTATTTTCCAATATAGTATTTCAGAAATGTGTATTATACCTTTTCATGCTGAAGTTCCTCTATTTGTTTTTTTGCATTTTCAATTTCTCGAAGAAGTGAATTCTAAAATAAAATGTATCGCAAATAATGTTACTTATAAAAGCTTTCAACTCTTAAACCATAACCAAGATGAGTATGAAAAAGTTTCAGTTAACACTACACAGATGCATCTTAAGTTACAGATACTTTATTGCTTACATCATTTCACTTTGATTATAGTTGAACGTTTATCCTTTCAGGTGTACAGCCCTCTAAATAACGGATTTAGTAATAGTACAAGTTCTACAAAAATTTAATACCAATACCAGCGTTTTAAAGCTCCGTTTGACAAAACTGGTAAAAAAAAAGGAATAATTAGACAGCTAAAATAATTCAAAGTAATTCACTGAGTGGTTACTAAGGCATTACTGTCTGTTATCATTAGGTTTTAATTTTATTTTCACTTGCCTTACCTACAAAATTACTACACAGTAATTTCTTGGATGCACTGTACCTCTGGAATGCAACACTCACTGACTTACAGGCCTTCATTAACATCAGAGCTGTCGTCTTTACAGTTATACCATGACTTCTAAACAACTGCAGTAAATATAAATACTTATGACTACTACAATCTCTTTACTCAAAGCAGTTTCCAAATTCAGACTAAGAATCATCTGAGAATTAAGAAACATTTGAGAGCTAAAACAATCAATTTCAACCACTGTACTTGACTGTAGTATGTGATACCAAGAAAAACATCAGAGATTCCCCCTTCTAATAGGAAACTTATAACTGGATCACTTCCTTTTCCACCATTGCCAAGAAGTTCTGCTAAACACATTTCCTTGAGGTAAGTAATACCATTACTTGCATCTTAAACATGTAATAAAGTTTCATACGTGAACAAACAGTCATTCGGGGGAAAAAAGCCCAAGTGATCAGAAGAAAGTCTTAAAATTTTACCCGCGTGTTTCTTTCCAACTTATCATAAAAAGAATGAGCTTGAAGCCACAGCAAGAATACTTTTCTAGACGCTGTTACTTACAGCGAAGGGCAACTAGATTTTCCTCATTATTCGTGAACGTAGTTAGGGTTTGGAGAATAAAGGGGAGTTAGGGTTAACCCTAAGACACCCCTGGAATAGTAAAACATTTTAAAAAAAAATTGTGGTCAGCTGTTTTTCAGAAACTGAATTTATAAAGACTGTTAGAACAACCTTGTTGATGTCATAACAAGGCCCATAACAAGAATTTCTGAAGTAATAGGAGCAGCTGGTGATCTTGAAAACAGCGATGTTAACTAAAAACCACAAGACAAAGTTTGCAGCCTTAGATGCCAGACAATAAGCACTTTTATCATTAGCTCAAAGGGCGAGAATCGGTAGGACCTACATTTGTTCTGCAGTACCCGATTCCTCTCAGCTCCAAGAGCACAAAAGCAGGGAAAAGAACAAACTAAATTTTTGTAATGATCTGAGGGGAGCACAGTCCTGGAATTCTGGAAAGACACGTCAGATACCTGACTGATGGTTTAGGGATGAGAACTGAGTTGACATGAATGCAAGAGAAAGTAAACATCTATTGAAGTCTGAACACATCATTATATATTGCAGCTGAAGCATTTTATTGCCATGACTTTAAAACAAAAGCCACTCAGCTTTTATTGAAACATTTCCCCAGATGGTCATTTCACCCTCCAGTAAAAGAAACTAAGTATTTTTTTAATCCAAGACAAAGCAGTTCAAAGTCAGCATCAAGCAAAGCGCTACTTTAGAAGACACTGCTTTGTTCGATGCAGAGTAAGGGAATCCTTAAAGACATGCACAGAAGAAAAATCCGTCATGACCTAGATCCAAAAGCAGAAGGGAAAGAAACAGAGTAAAGTATGTCACAAGTTAGAAGATGAATTGAATACAGGGGAAAGCTCTGTGATGTGCATTGACAACCCAGGGAACAGCCCCTTTACATTCATATAACCTGTCTCAAAATGATCTCCCTGGGAAGAAAATGCAAGATTGTTTCAACTTGCAAGAATCCCACAATGACTCAGAGTAACTGCTACAGAAAAAAGCAATGCAAAATAAAAGAAACAGAACTGAAAAGGTCAAAGTTCTAGTCCTAATTCTTTAGCCTTCCTGTATTACACTGGATGAGCCTATTTATGCAGTCCACACCAGTCAACTAAGAAAGGATAAAGCTTCTTAAAAGATGTCTTCTCAACACTGTAGTACAATGCCCAGGGACAATCTCAAAAAAAACCAACAAATTTTAAGAACTTATTTTCAAAATCCACACTGGAAAAAAGCCTTAACAGAAACTACCAAATAATAAGGATTTAGTATTTATTTACTGAAGTTACAGACACATTGCAAAATCCACAAATCACTGCAGAATGTTGAACATCTAATTAATGTATCTGCTGGAATGTGACGTGTTACCTTATCTTCCAAGGCAGCCATCCTTTCCTTGAGATGAAGCTGAAGCCTTTCATTAGATTCCGACAGAAGCTTATCAACAGTTTCTGACAAACGTTTATTATGCTCTTCATTCATCTTCTCTCTCTGTCTAGCCTAAGATACATAAAAGCTACTGAAATAACTTAAAATTTACAATGCCTATAACAGTTTCCAGGTTGTAAAAACAGTAAGCTTTCTCTAATCCAAATGCATTTTCTTCAGCAGAAATATTTTTCCAAAGGAATAAGAAATAGTGCATGTACCCCCATGACTAAGGGAGTGTAAGGGACACCTCAGACTTCAAAAACTGTTCCAAGATCAGAAGCTTGAAAACCTGAGCTTACACTTCAAGAAAAAGCAGATTTCAGAACCAATTCCATTATTTATAACCTAGGAACCAGTTTTTCCATAGTCATTTAATTCAGCGAGTTTTTGATCTGTCTCCTCGTCAGAAAGTATGACTAGCAATTAGGTATTTCCAAACATATTTGAAACTGACTGGAGACTTCCAGCTTCTTCTTGACATTTAAGGTTAGCCATAGTACAGTGGCTCAAATCTCCCAACTACCAGCCAGCCTAAACTCTGGCTTTATTTTAGAGATGAGAAATAAAAACAGCTTTGCTGAATGATAGGCAGCCATGAAGGGGATTAGATTATTTCTTTCAGCTTTGTATCTTTGCCAAAAATTTGTACAGTACCCTTTGCAGTTCTTGATTCTTTTCTTCTAGCTGTGCTTCCATCTGCCTCAGTCGTTCCTCTATATTGCCATGTCTCTCCTCAGCCTGTCAATTTGAAAACAAAATTAGAATTTGTTTTTTTTAAAAAGGTTTCAGAAGCATAGAAACATTGAAGCACAATAACATATCTAACATGCTTTGCGCAACTGCCATTCATGGTAATACACAATGCAGAATAGATGCCTTTCTGTCACTAAAAGGACCTAGTAAGAGTTCATATGGTAAGTAACAAAATGATGAAGCCTCTCATCTCTAAGTACCATGAATCAACTACTATTTGCAAATGAGCTTGCAACAGCAGAAGTTCATTCAAATCCCCAAGAATTAAAAAAAAAAAAAAATTTAAATGCATTTTCAGCTTTTCCTCACTAGCCTAGACAATATGACCCTTTGTTAGTAATCATGACAAAGCAGAAAGCAGCAAGCAGAAACAAGGACTAATATACAAATTCTACCTTCCTAAGCTTGGTGGTAAGTTCCAATACTTTAGCATCTTTAGCAGCAGAGCTCCCAGGAGACAAAAGGTCAGACTACAGAGCCAGTTAGGGACAGGAAAGATAACAGGGAAAGAAATGAAACTGAGACTTGAAAACACACACAGGCACACTTGAAAAGGCTCATTTGTAGTTACTACATATAATTCTTCTGACTTCATTATTCCATTTGCAGCCTTCTAAAAATCTTAATATTAATGAGTACCATTACTTTTCTCTCTCCCCACATTCCTCACTTGGTTAACAGCGGAAGAAACTTGGGGCTCCCCCTTCAGAAATAGTTCTTGTTTTAGAAGACTTTATGCCTATTATTGATTAATTTTAATAAAAAGCAGCACAATTATAATTCAGAGACATTTTCAAAATGTAACAGAGTTAACAGAAAACCTGCTCACGTTCCAAAGAGCAGAAATTAAAAAAAAAAAAGATTACATTAGAGTGTGTTCATAGAGATGAACAGAAAACGCAGAAAACAAGGAGAAACATTTTCTGAACTAGTTGGAGGAAAAACAGAAACACAATGTAACAAACCCAACAGTTTAGGAACAGATTTCTTGTAGCAGGACACCAACAGAGAAGAGAGTCTTGAGGATACGGTCCAATTGACTCACCTTTGAAAGTGCTGCAACTCTCTGTGCCAGCTCAGCCTCCACCTCCGGCAAAGTTTCAGCTTTTCTCAAAGTCTGCTGCAGCTTTTGCTCAGCTAGTTCCAGTCGTTCTTGCAATTGCCTATTCTTGTCTTCACTCTACACAGGATTATGATCAGCAAATGTTTAGCATTAAAATGGTAATTACTTTTCGTCAGAAGAAGGTAAGGATACAGCTTACTGCCTTTACTACACCTATGGAGAACAAACTGTCCAAAACTGCTTTCATAACCAAAAGATGTGGCATCCTCCCCTTCATTACATGAGAGAACTTCTCTACAAATTTTTTTCTGCAGACAATTCTGTGTATTCTAAAAGCAACTATATCGCCAAACAAACATAGTTATGGTATGGGAAGCAGCACAGAACAAGTTGTGAATTTGCAATGTCAAGACTTTGAGTTACATCAAGGAAAAAAATTCCTTCATATTTTAAATAACACTATGCATATTACCACAAAATTTATTTTTATTTAAAATGTGTACAACTTCTTTTAAAAATTATACTAAAAGGGACTTCTCTTGTTGACTAAGAGTTGCCTGGCTTCCTCTAGTTAGAGCGATTGGCTAAATAACCATTTCTGGTTTTAAGTTGGACTACTTCATGTCAAGCATACATCAAGTTTCCTCCCGCAGTAAGGCAACACTTACTTCTACTATAGGCTACAAAAATCACTACACAAATTTTAAAACTATTTTAGCTTAGGATGAGTAATTCTCACACATGAAACTAAAGATGCTTGGATACACACATAGTAACTTAAAATCCACAATTAATAGGGACAACAGCCCTGCTGCACCATGATCAAGTGCACCAAAATGCTCAAAACCATTTCCTCTCTCCAGTAAACTGTCTCATCTTCATTTCCAGGGTAAAATTCTGTACAACGCACTCCTCCAGTTACCGAAAAACAATCGCTAACAATAGCACGTTACAGATGATATTTATCTTCCTAAAAGCAAAGTGCTTTAGTACAGTATGTACATTGATTATTTCCATTAGTTTTACGCTGAGCAAAGTGTACTTTATCTTATTTCAAATTACAACCTGTCGATGCATGGAGTCTTTAGTGGCAATTTCATTTTCAAGTTTATCATTGAGGTCATGCACAGATGTAGCTTCACGTTGTGCAGCGAGGTAGCGTTTCTCAAGAGTTGTAATTCTCTCTTCCATGTCTTCCTTTTGGGCCATAGTCTATGCAAGACACAAGTCAGAATTTAGAATGTAAGGGATAATTATTTAGTGATCAAACTGGGGGGGAAAAAAGCCACAAACCAAAAATAATAATAAAAAATAAAAACCAGATATACTCTGTTATTTCTCTGAGTAAAACAAAATGAAGTAGAAAGAATAGTCTCACTTAGGCTTACAACTTCAATGATTTTTTTTTTTTTTTTTTTTTAAACAGTGAATGCTTAAAAAGACTGGTCTTTATTATATTACACCACAGATCTGCTACTTACCTTTCCAGTGGCACGAACACAGCAAATCTGTACTTCCCGGGGATGGTCAGAGAGTGTTTTTGGACTTAACTAAGCTCCCTTTCTATTTAATAAGGATACAGTACACTGCAATACATAGGACCTTGGAGATTAGTGACTGATCAGTAACAGGAACTGTCAATCACACCACTGAAATTAAAGTGATTCCTCAACCACATACATGTTCAAAAATAAAAAATCTAAACTTCACAAATAAGCTTAGCATTTATGACAAGATTAACATGTTCTTGAAAAGATGCTTGAAGTTCGCAATGCTAAATCTGTACTTTAACATATTCGTGAAGCATCTAGTTAGTCAGATTTATTCTGAAGATGGATTTTCTTAAGCAACTGGTCTTTTAAACAAAAAATAGCACCATCATGCTCTAAACAACTTTCTTCTCACCTATCAAACCAAAGACATTCAAAAGCATAAAGGTGTAACTGAGCACCAATGACATTGAAATGTTATAAAGCAGTTGCATTTGTGACTACCCAAATTTTGACAGTTTATTCCTCACCTCTCGTACATCTCTCTGTAACTTTGTATTCATTTCTTCAGATTTTATTAAGTCTTTTCTAGCTGTGTCAAGATCTTCTTCCAGCTCTGTTACTCTGCTAGACAAAGCAGTAAGACGTTCTTTCATTTGTGTCTGCTCTTTGTTTTGCTTATCTATGATGTCTTGGAGTTCAATCACTTTAGCAAGGTTTTCATCATGGCATAAAGAACCATCAGAGGATCGCTATTAAACAGGGTGGGGGGAAAAAAAAAGTATTTGCACGTTATCCAGAAATTGAAAAAACAAACTGTTACTTATCTGTAAACACCCCTCCCTCAAGATAATTTTATTATTGGATAGACCGCAAAAATTGAAATTGTGGTAACTGAGACTTTTTAATTAAATCATCACTCAGAAAACTTTATTATTAGAGTTCAAAATTAAAATATTATCGTTAATGGTTAAAAAAAATCAGACATCAGCTAAAAAAGTAACTAGTTGTACCTTCCCGTTTGTAGTTGGTGTATTTTCCTGTTCGTGATTTATATCCAGCATCCCATCTGGAATTGTTTTCTTCTGATTATTTTGCTCTTTCAGAATCATTAACTAAAAGAAAAGTTTATATACATATGTTTCAAGTCAATTCCTTTCTCACTAATAATATAAGGAACAGCTGCAAAAGCAAAGGAGCAAAACAACAATTACTGATTCTACTGCAAGGTATGTATTAATAAAATATGGCACAGGCACTCAAAAACTTATGCCATTGCAACCCAAAAATTCTTATTTTAAAGCCACAGGAACTCTTTTTGTTGGGATTTGGGGGGGGAGTTAGGGAGGTTAGGGTTTTTCTGGTTTTTCCTTTCCTGCTTTTTCAAAGTGCCTAATTTAAAAATTATAGTTATCCCATTTGGTAAAAAACAAACAAAAAAAATCAAAACCAAGAAATGAAAGTGAACCTTAATAACTGAATAAATTACTGTGTACAAATATTGACTAAACACCCACAATGCACAAATGAAAACTTTAAAAAAAAAAAAACCAACCTCTTTTTGCGTAGTACCCAGTTCTTCTTCCAATAAGCTACATCTTTCAAGTGCTACTCGTAACCTCTCCCTTACCTGAAAGAGCCCACAATGCACACATGAAAACTTTTTTTAAAAAAAAAAACCAACCTCTTTATGCGTAGTACCTAGTTCTTCTTCCAATAAGCTACATCTTTCAAGTGCTACTCGTAACCTCTCCCTTACCTGAAAGAGCAATTTCAAATAATTTGAAATCGTTCAAATTAAAAAGAAATCAATTTCACTTATTGCCATGCTGCCATGCCCTTTCAGATAATAAATGACACTATTTCCATTACACTTAGAGACCTGCTTAATCTTGAGTCAGTACTAATTACAACATATGCTACAAAAAACCACCTAGGGAAACAATGCATATCTTCAAATCTAGCTTTTCCTTTTTTTGTCATAAGCAAATCGTATCTCAACATGACCTGTACATTTAGGCAAGAATTAAACATATCCAGAATTTGCTTATCCTTTTGTAAGGCACAGAGTGTGTATGTTCTTGCTTATTCACAACACGGAAGAAGAGACAGAATTCTACTTAAAATAATTTGCCAGACTTTATATACAAGGGTCACAAAAGTTAGGCAAACTAAGAGTTGGGAGCAAAATTCACAGTGAACTTTACCACTTGCATATCCTGCTGCCAACGTCAGGCACAACTAAAGGGCGGAGTTCCTTAAATTCAGCTTTATTTGATATCGCAGTGTAAGCAGATTCCTCTCCTCCTGTTCTCTCTAGTCCATTTCTTGTATTACGTAATCAGAAGGCTAAATCCTGGTGTCACAGGTAAGCAAATGTATGCATTCCTACAACAAATATATTGCCCCTGAACCATGCTTAGTTTACATTAGCACAGTTAATGAAGTACTAGAATAAACTACAGCACCTTGCTTTAGTGCAACATATTCAGGAGGGCAGTTACTGATGCAGTTATAGCAAAGCCGCTATCTTAATACAGAGAGAAGTTCAGAGACCCTGACTTCTGCAACTTTAGCACAAACAACTGCACGGTCCACACAAAAGAAAGCGGGGACAGAATGAGAAGATGTCAGCTACCATATTTCATTACCTTTTCATCAAGGGCTTTATGGTGTTCAAATAAAGATTTTAGTGCTTTGAGAACTTCTACTTCACTAGAAACTCCTGCTGGAGACTGAGCTTGTCTCTTCACAACAGTCATTCTGAGAGATCGCTCATGCCTGGAGACAAGACACTCCAAATGTTCCAGTAATAGCTAAAACAAACAAACAAACAAAAAAGGAACAATGTTTATTCCTGTTCTGCATAGCTGCAGAAAACTTTGCCTCCTCAAACATCAAGTTTCCAAACTCCAAATCTGAGAGCCAAAGACTACTGCATCAAGCATAAGGACCTGTTTTCAACATTTCACCCGTGTCAGAAGTTATATCAGAGCTAATGCATTTCCTAATTCTCTTTTTCAGTCTAGTTTTTAAATGAGGTTTCTACTTAACCAGGTCTTTTCAGTTCTGCCACCAATCTGAGGAACTGCATGCTTGTCAGAAGGATATACATAGGAAATGCTCTAAATCAGAGAGCAACTGTTCTGCTGGCAGCAGTGTAAGCTGCTGGAACAGATCACTACAACTTGCCCGCTCTATTCCTCTCATCTCAGGTGTTGTAGGATTACAAAACTTTAACAACAAGAAAGCTGAACAACAGACAGCAGTGCAGTCTTATGAGCTTTTCCTGATTCTGCACAGCAGTATTTGGAGCTGTGCATAAGATTCCAAACTTTCTTAATCAACACACATTCGCACCTCCAGGGGGATTCATGTGCAAGTATCAGGGAAAAAACACTTTTAGCTTTTCAAATTGAACATTCAATGTTTTGCTCCATGTAGTTGGATGCTTTAATAATAGTAATCTCAGAGAAGACAAGGAACTAACCCTGGTATTATTTCTTTCTGCTTTCAGTTCAGCGATTTCTTCTTCCCTTTCAAGCAGCTGCTCCCTGCATACATTTAGCTCTTTCGTAAGCGCTGCAAACTCCTGAAATAAACCAGACAGAAATATAAGCACATCAAATATCGGGATATAGTGAGAGTAGATTCATAGGAACACTTGACGTGATTTCTTGAAGTATTCATTTCAGATGTCTAAAGCCAATACAGGTGCATTAGTCATGCTAAGCAGGCTTAAGTTCAAACACTTAAAACCGTTACACTGTCAAATGTAAAGATTAAAGATGTTTGACCAGTACTTTTGAGAACTTGTTTGTCTCTCAAGGCGATTATCTGAATTGGGGTATCCCTTGTAAGCAAAAGGGAAAAACCTATTTGTAATGTACTTTGTTATTGTTTCAAAAAGTTGTTGTTTGTTTTTTTTAAATGACTGCTGAGGGAGACATGAAAAAAACAGAGCCCTAAGCAAAAACAGAACCCAGCAAATCATGACAAATTTCAAGTCAGTATTTAATTGTGAGAGACAATGCGTAACCCTGGCAGAACACACAGGTTACTTCTTCATAGTAATAGAGCATCCTTGAAGCTTCACCACTGGAGGACTCAGACCTTTATAGGTATTTATCTACTTAAGCTACACACAGGGATTTCATTTATACCTACTTTTAAATCTCACAGAATGGAACTGAAACCACCCTTTCCCTGTAGTCCTGCTAGAAATCTCAGAGGATTAGAATCAGAATTTTCTAGAAGCCGAGCCCTTGGGCTCAAAGCCCTCAAAAGGCTTTCCCTTCACATTCAGTAAAGCTTTCAGCAAACAAAACTGAACCAAAGTGAAATAGTACATAGAGTGAAGTCATCAGGGAACAGGAATTAAGCTAACTCACAGCAGTTACTGCATGTTTATTTGAACATTGAGATTCGTCAAATTTAAAGAATATATTTCTAAATTTTTGGATTTCTGTCAGGAAGGCATCATTGTACTGAATATCTGAGAGCGCCACTACATCCTAAACTATTTCCACTCTATCAACAGCCTCACTGAAAATACTCAACATAAAAGGCATTTAATCTATCAACTCAGTGAGCATACTCTGGATAGAATAAAAGATACAACTATACACCACATTTATAAGCAAATACTGAGCCTAACCTTATCTACCTACTTACTCTGGCAAAATTTAAGTTGTAATCTGAACCACGTTAGAAATTATTAACAGTAAGCATGAATGTGAACAAGTCCATGCTTTAGAAGAGGACTTTGTAGGAAACGGGAAAGAAAACCCTCTTGTGTTATCAATGCAACTTAGGATGTGAAAATAAATACGTTATCGGTCACTCCAATGGCCGGTGAACACTTCAGAAGCTCTTGTATAAGAAAGCATTGAAACACTAGTAAATAAATTAGTCATCTTTATTGTCTAAAATAAGGAAAACACTCTAATAAACAAGCATCACGTCTAATAAACAGTAGATTAGTATAGCTGAACTGGTGATGATCAAGACAAGATGAGCAAGACAAATGGCTAACTAAGAAGACTGTACTGCGGCAACACACTGTGTGCGCAAATGCTGCTTCTCTAAATTTTCCAAATTCTGCAAGATATACTGCTTAACAGACAGTAGCTGCATATCAAGTAAAAGCTTAAGATGGAGCTGTTTTGCAGTAAAATTCAAAGTGACAGAAAACACATGCTTAAAAACAAAAGGACACATCAACTAATGACACTAGCACATCTGCAAATTCTAACACACAGCTAAAATAAGCAGACGTAGTCAAAAGACACAATTAATTCCAAGATTAATTTGGTAAACTTTATTCTGAAACATACATGTGATTGAAAAGACAAAAAATATGTTGCGCAACATATACCTACAGTGAACTCTTTGGAATTACTAATGTATTAGGCTTTTAAAGGTTGCTATGAAAAGATAGTAACACCACCATCACAGATGCAGAATCCATCTCCATAATCCCTCTTCCTAAATAAAAATCTGCTCATTGGAAAAAAGATTCGGTATAGTCCCCCTAGTTAATCAGCAAATCACTGCAAAAAAAGCCTTAATTTCTTTCCTTTTCCAATTGTTAAAAAAAAAAATTTTATTTCGTTAACACACTTGATAATTATGCTCACATAAATATTTCACTGCAGTATTTCACTTGCATCCTTAAAAAAAAAAAAACTGGCCTATTACTTTCAAGTAAAAATCCCTGGAAATACACTTATTAAAACAACCTGGTCTGTAAATAAAGCTACTGGAACTTTTAAACACACAAAACAAACTACAAAAGATTCCTGAGTGCAAGGTAAACCAAGAAACAAAAAAACCTACTTTAAGCTTCACAGAAGCTGATGGAAAAATTGACTCTACTACGAGCTTTCCCTGCAGAACACTCCTTCGTATCCCAACTTTTCCTGTACTTCCAATATCCCACCCATGGAGCTTCCAAGACTCCCAGACAACTGACAGCACACATCCCTTTTGCTCCAATACAAGCTTAGGTAAAGCAGAATGCGATTCCAAAGTCGCAGTTCTTCACAGACCTTCCCTACTTATCTTGATGTATTAGATAATTATGTACTACTGAAATTACTAGAAGTACCAGTAGACTCAAAGTATTCACAAAAGAGCTTGATATGAACAGATCTTCTTGGTGGTTTTTTGCCCTTTTCAAAACAAATAATTAAAAAAACCCCTTAAAACGACAACATCAACATTTACAAGCATAGACATTACACAATTCTCCAAAGGACATGGGACTGACATGGAAAGTTCTTATTTTTACGGTTTCTACCTCAAGTCTTGAGGACCAGATAAAGAAAGCAGTAAGGGATGTTTCATCATCCCTTCTCAACTTAAAAATCACTGTATAGCATTAATACACATTTTGTTATCTAAGACACGTATGAGCTTCATCTTCTGAAAAACAGCTGTATATTTGAAAGGAAGTCTATTTGCTCTTCAAATGATTATAGTACATACAGTTCTATTCCATTGCATACTTCTGTGCAAATATAAATTGTAGCACAAATATATCGTAATTATGACACGAACCATCACGCTGTCAGATGACCCAAAAAGAACAGTGCACACAGGAATTTACATTGCTGCTGCATAAACAGACTGACACGTATTTCTGGCATTGCTTAATACTTCCATTGCTGGTTGTTTTGACAAAATATAGTTGCTTTGAGTCCCATGAGCCGCCTAAGAAAGAACGCTTGAATGTCCTTAGTTTCAGGTGACACTGCCAAAAGGCATGCCCTTTCTCGTTTTAACACTTACCTTCAACACTAGACAATTTGTGATTTCCTCAAGCAGTTCAAAAGGAGAGAAACTATTTGTAACTTTAACATCTCAAAAAAGCTTGAGTTGTCTCAATTTCTTCCTTGGCATTAGATGAATGTACAGAAAGAATTAAAGGAAAAAGAAAAATCCTGAGAAACTTTTCTACTTATCCACAAAGTTGTATTACTTATTCTGTAATTAAGGACAAGATTGAGAGCATCAGAACAAAGTTCTGCTCTGCTTCTGATTGCCATCAAAATACTAGGTACCCAACTCTGAGGACTGACAAGAATGGTACTCAGAATAAGCACTTTAGAGCACATACAAGAAAGAGTCGGAGAGTGACAAATATACTAGGTAAATATCCCCTGTTGATTAGAACATACCGACAAACACTCGTACTCTATACTAAACTGAAAAGTTTACTGAGGAAAGTAACTTTCTGAACCAACTGAATCATTCCAAACATGACACTCTTGCTGCCAGAAATAAATACTCTCAACAAAAAACTACATTAAGAGAAAGTAAGTTTGTTGTTGTTCAGTAATACATTTTCTGTTGTGGGTTTTTTTTCCCCACAAACTTCATGAATTTTTAAAGCAATAGCATTTCTTCTACATCAACCTTCAGAACTGACCTTCAACCTTTAATATTTTAGAGGCCGCAACACAAACACCCTTCCAAAGGTTGGATCAGCTGGTGTCTAGCTGTCAAGCCTGTACATTTCTGATGTCCGAGCTGACAGCCACTTGGTTACTTGCGAGATCTCGGTCCAGGCACATTACAGCTGTCAGGGAACAGGTTCTCTTCATGTTTATTACAAGCATAATTTGTAGGTTCCACAGATAGTACATCACAAACCAATAAATGCTACATGACAGGAAAGACAGTATTTAACTTAGGGAAAAACTTGAAGGAAACAGAAGTAATCCCTGAAAGTCTATTAACACAAGCTGTGTACTAGGGATGCTCTTTGCTACTATGACTGCAGACAAAGGACTGTAAGTTTGCTTGGGATTTGCTCAAGCAACAAAATTCATTCCACTATAAAACACAACACCACTCTTGAGTACATAAGGATTCATGGATTAGAGGCAAAAAGATGACCAGAAAGCTTATTTAAAGGATGAAAAGATATTAAAAAAAGAAACATATTTTAAATTCATCAAAGAAAATATTATTAAATACTATTAAAGTAGTATCTTCTGGCAATACAAGGATGAAGATGCAACTGTTGCATCTTTAGGAACACCTCTGCCAAAAATGTGAGTGGAATTTATCTGTTTAATCTCCAAGTAATATTTTGTTTTACTGTTAACATTCTGTTCTGTAGTCTGCATATCAAACAACCCACGCAAAAAACTGGGAAGCTGAAGAGAGCATGAGAAGAACAACCAGGGAAAGTGCAGGCCATCAGGGATGAGAAACCGAGGGAATCTCAGATAAGTTTCTATCATGGTATTTACATTACATATAAACCACAATTATTGCAAATGATTGCATGCATGAAAGTGACAAGCATACAGTCTTAAACAAAACAATCAAAGAAAACCTAAATATCTAAGCTTAACAGGGTATTTCATAGCCACTTCATCTTAAACCTAAGGGGTTTAGGTAGCACACAGTGACCAGTATCCCCAATATATTTGGAAGTTCTTAGCAAGTGAATTTTTGTACCTATTAAGTCACACCAGTTTAGCTTTTTATTTTTAAGCTAATGGATTTATGAAATAATTCAAGGGTATTTAGACTTAAACTGAAAAGAATTGACATGTATTAATCATTAAATCCAGCCTT